ATTTACATTCTTCAGGGAGGCTCTTGCACAAATGGATTTTAAAGTACTAGGTGATGAAATCCTTGTTTCAATGTTTCTCCATTGAAATATCTTTCTGGAAGGTACAGCACTGCACGTGTAACTGTTGGCACAAAGTAAAATTGGAAAGAAGTCATGACATCAGAACCACATGAGGTGTATTTCCCAGAGAGAGATGTTAGGTTTGTTCAGAAAGAAAGGATAGGCAAGGGCTGTCATTACAGCCCAGAATGCTGAAATAAAGTAAACCTAAAAGACATCTCTGAGGTTGGGCATTGCTTATTCTCTTGCCATTACAAGTCTCACATTAAATGGTTCCTGAGTTAATCTGAGAGGACCAGTTAAAAGCAAACAATGCCAGCCTTATGTGGTAGCAGGGTGGGTTTGGCTACTCGGGGAGTCATCTGTCCCCAAGAGAGAGGAGATGGCAAAAGGCTGGAGGACTCACCTGCCTGGTTCCATGTGGGCTGCATGAAACATAAATGCTGGAGCTGCTGCATTGGAAAAGATTTGATTCAAAGCCCTGGGAGAAGTAAATCCACGTGTCAGCATCCACAAGTGCTGTGGTGGTGCTGAACTGAAGTTCAGCTTTAGTCAGCTGTCCCCATTTCCTTAAGGGAGTGCCCATTAATTTCCCCCTTCCCAAACAGCAACAGGCAGTCTCTGCCTTCTGCTCATAAAAGGAACCTAAAATATCACAGCAATTACTTTCAGTTTGAAGAACTCTGCCTGTGGTCAGTCTGATCCAAACTTGTGTGTTTGTGCTTTATTCCTTGTATGTTTCCTGTAGCTTTTTTTTTTTATCTGTCACAACACATTCACAATCTGCTGCGTGCATAACATGGGTGGGGTGGATTAATAAAGGAAGAAGGGGATGGGCTTTTAATTTGTGAGTTCTGAGGGATTGTTATGAAGGACAAGGGTGGAGGAAGCAGACTTCTCACACCATACAGAGATGCTGTGAGGGCCTTTTGAAGATGTGATTGTTTGTAATTGTCTTGTTCTGTTTTTAGAGGCAGTTGCAAAAGGCCTTGAAAGCCGTGTACTTAAATATGCTCCATTAAATTGCTTTTTTTTTTGTTGCTGACTGTAATCCCTCATGTAATCTCTCTTTGTGTGAGCAGCAATGCAGAATTTGAACATGTCTTGCTCATAAGAGTCTCTAACCTCTCTTTCCAAAGTGTAATGATTAAAAACTTGGACCACAAACCTGCTTCTGGTTCAGACACCACCTGTCCAAGTAATACAGAAAGGTCAAAACGGAGGCAGCAGCAGAGGAACAAAAAGCAATAGAAAATGGCACAAAGAAAGGTTTTTTGAGAAGATACAAAAGATACCGTTCTGTAACTTAAATTTAATCTTGATTAGTTAGAGAATAAGAGTGATGCTAATCAGTTTAGGCATGCTGGCAAGACAGTAGAAAGAGCAGCAAGACAGCTGAGGAGAAGAAATCCCTCTAACCTTCCTCTAAACCTTCGCTAAAGATTAATCCATCTCTGTTGGATGCACTAATATGTAAGAGAAAAAGGAATGTCTAGCAGAAATAGCAACAGAAGGGCAGTAGATTACATGTCTGAGAGGCTTGAGTTTCTAGAATTAATTGTGACTATGTCTTTTTATTTAGTATTTCCATGCCTTTTTTTTTTTTCCTCCCTTTAAATCTATAAAATTAGAGTAGTATCTGTCTAAACATGTTAACAAGTGGTTGTGACAATTTGTAAGTGATTGCCTGGATAGGTAAGAAGCCCATGGAAGCAAGTTGGTAGAGATGTTTTCTTTCTTCCTAAGACCACATTTTGCTCTTCTTAAAAGCAAAGATGAGTCGATTGATGGGTTAATAGAGGCCTGTTTCTGGGTGTATAATGTAACAACAGTAGTTTGTGAAGCACAAAGTTGAAGATGAATTCATCTTCCTGACTGGACCAGTGTGAAATGCTCTCCTGAGAGGTGGGTGGTTAAGCACAAGCCTAGCTTTAGATGTGCTCAGCTGGAGAAAACATTGGTGGTACCTGCCGTGGCGAAGTGCTCCAGAAAAAACATGCTCCAGCTTTTCCACTGCTCTGGAAAAGCTTAAAACTTTGTGGAGCCAAACTTGATGAATACAGCTGTAGCCCTAGGTCACAGTGATGCCATGGATGCAATGATGATAAGAGGGAAAGCCCTAAAATTTGGAGGGAGTTGTTGTGGGGATTGCTAAGTTGCATTGTGTGAATGAAATGAGCAGTAGCCAGCAGGTTCTTCAGTCCCAGGCACTGAGTGTGGCCCAGCCCCTGTGTCTGTGGTGTTCAGGCTATAAAAGGTAACCTTGCCTCTTTGAGAGAAACAAAACCATTTTATCCTAAACCACCCACAAGGCCTTTGGGCAGCAAAGAAGCTTTTGTGCTGTAAAACACAATTTAGTTTCAGAGATCCATTTAAAACTGTGTCCTGGCTAAGGGGAGAAGAGGTTCACCCCAAGCAGCCTCTGTGGTGATGTGAGGTGCAGTGGTTTGTCCTTCCTGTTGCTGCTGAGTGACTTTTGTTGGCCCTTCACTGTGCAGTTGGAAATCACTGCACTGTCAACTGGATCACAGGCTGGATTTTTACTCTAGGAAACTTCTGCCCACCTCTTGATTTTGTAGAAAAGTGTTGCCCTACTGAGAGCCCTTCTTGGCTGAGTTAAGGATGTAGAGATAACTGAGGTTGAGGAGGAAGGAGTAGAGATTTCTAAAGCTGGTTCTGCTGACAAAGTCAGCATGTTTGAGGAACTACACCCTAAAGCAAAAGGTTAAGGAATGTAGAAATGCTGGAATATAAACTATGAAAGGGTGTGGGGAAATGCTTCCAGAGTTAGGGTTATTTTATAGTGAAAGGAAAGTTTTGATACTTTTTTTTAACTTGTTGATTTTAAGATGCTTATCTGCTGAATTGCATTCTTTCAGTTTTGGTATGTATGCTATGGAATTTCTATGGCTAGCTAGAAGAAAGTAATTCAGACATGTATTTCAAATATAAACAAGAAGTAGGAAAATGAAAAAAGTTTTGGGGAAAAAAACCCCACATTATATAAAGGGAAGAATATGAGCAAAACAAAGTGATGCAGTAATTCAACACTGGTATAAAGTATGCTGGCAGGACTTAATGAAAGCAAGGATCTCATTTCTGGTCTGCAGACCAGTTCCATAAAGAGTGATACATTGAACTTAGGAAGAATGTCTGGTTGACATCACCCTCTTTATTCCACTCTAAAGTCCAGGGAATCTTAGTTCATGTCAAATGTATCAACATCAGGAAAAGCCATGTAGATCTGAGAAGGGAGTTTTGGTTTTTAGTTTGTTCTCTTTTAAACCAACAACAAAACAAAAACTAGGAGAGAGAAAATAAGTTGTGTACAGAGAAACACTTTTATTAGTGTGCCAGACTGCCCAGAGTGATTGTGACATCTCCTTCATGAAACACATTAGCAGCAGAAGAAATTAATAAGTCAGAATATTAATTCTTCTGCTCTGTCTTCCAAGAAGGCAAAGAACAGCCAAGACTTTCAGTCTGATGCCGTCCCTGAAAAAGCATCTTTGTGTTTATGAATGCATTAAGGGAGATTACCTAAGGTGATGTGAAAGTACATGGTTTTCAACTTGGAGATGATCTCTAAACGGGAGGAAGAAGTTTTTCTTTTGACGCATCTGAAAAGATGCGAAAGATCTTGAAAAACTTAATAGCAGGAGAGTTCTACTGTCATTTTTATTCAGAGAATGATGTCTCTGAGCAGCTGAGAAGGAAACTTACATTTAGTCAGAGTGGATTTTGCTTTTGCATTTTGTGTATATATCACTGTATACTGAATGCAGATGCCTAATCCACAATAGGAAGAAAACCATCTGCATTCATAGGGAGTCTTACTGGGATGTGCTTACCTGTGGTTTACAGTCAAGAGCAGTAGGAGTACAGCAGCACCTTAATTCCTTCTCCAAATCCTGGCAGAATTTCACCAAATTGCTAATAATTGTTTTTTTATTTAAAGAGTTTTCAGTTCATCTCTTCACACTTGTGCATTTTTCAATAGCAAAGCTAAATGTTTAAAAATGGTGAAGGATATTTGAAGTGATTGTGAATTAATTGAAATTCTTACTCATATGATATGTTAGCACAAAGTTATTTTTCTTCATGTAATGCTACACAGTTCAGGAACTGATGTCTGTCATTAACATCACCTAATGTTTTCCTTAATAGTGTTTTAGCTTTTAAATTGGTTGTAGCATAAAGGTTTCTATTAAAATGTTCTCTGCTGGATTGTGTGTAAGGATTGTTCTAAGAACTGGGGCTGAGGGCAGGGAGTTGGTTCCCTTCATTCCAAAGATGAACTCTCAAGAAAATTTGAATGAATTTGGTGAATTTCCCATAAGGACACATGTGATTTTGGGCTTCTGACTTTTAAAATGGAACAGCAGGCATTGCCTTGTTAATAAACACATACCTGTTGTCCGCTTTCTAAAATTCCTTCAGCATTTGCATGGCCCATTGGGCATGTTCAGTGAAGAACTGCTCAGTGTGGTGGCTGTGATTTGGGATGATTCCACCTGCCAGCAGTACATTCCTCTTGCTCACAGGCCTCAGAATGGGCTGTGCCTTGGAGCTGCCAGGTGTGCCAAGTGGTCCTGTGGCAATGAATGCTGCTGTGGTAGATCATTGTTCAATTACAGGTGAAAATTAATACACAGGCATGGAAATCTTGTTATTTTTCAGCTGGAAGAGCTGAAATGCCGTGTGCTGTTTCTGAGTGCTTGAGTTCAAAAACCTCTGTGTGAGGTGAAAAAGTCATTATGGTCCTGTCTTCAGCTTTTTGGGGCTCGGTTTTTTTCAGTTACAATATCTGCAGAGTATATACCACAGTTTTGGAAAATATGTTTTGCTGTCCTTTCTTGTGTTTAAATTAAATATGTTGGCTCTTGAGAGGATTTGAATAATGCAAGTACTCAGTGTTACACAATATTTTTGTTTTTCAGTTCTGAAAACAAAGGGAGCACAGCCATAAATTCAAAGAGCAGCCAAAAGGAAAGCACAACTCTGCCTGCACTTTTGAAGGTAAGATTTTTATTGCCTAATATTTATTTTAGGTAAAACCTGCCACCTCTACATGTGACTATTTGTTAGAGTTCTGATGTTGGACGCACTCCTGGATGTTGGATACAGCGTGGCACCTGATTGCCATAGTCTGAGTTAGGGTCCACTATGCCAGGGTTCTAATGGACATGCTAAAGACAGAAAATCTATTTGTGCTTCACATTCTTTAAACAAAGTCCACGTATTTACTTACAGGAAAGAACTGGGGCTTCAGTGCATGTTTGCCAGTGAAGAAGAAAACTAATATTTTTATCAAACCATGTTTTCAGGCATTGCTCTAAAGTACCATTTCTGTATAATTTATGAATATCTAACCAGCAAGTCTGTGCTTGCCTGAAGGTCTACTGGTTGCCAGCCAGAGCACTGTAAGATCTTTGTGCTGAGATTTGTCTGCACGTTGGGTGCTCCTCACCAGTTACCCGTGTTAATCATGCTTGTCTTGTCCTGTAAATGTTGTACTGCAAGAAAAGGACATGTTCCTCTGTGATCAGGGCTTTCTCCTGTGGCACTAGGCACACCTCTAAAGTTGTGCTTAGATTCAGCCAAATATCATAAATAATTATGTACAGAACAGGTGATAACTGCTGTCACATCTTGCCCTGCACTGAGCTATTTTAGTGATCCAGTCACTAAGCAATTTTGCTTGAATTTTTGTTCCTTTTCTGAGTTGTCTCAGTGCAGTGCAGATAATACCATGGCTGCTTCCCCAAAAGGGGCTTGGCTAGTCTGCCAGATTTAGGGCAGATGTAGGCTTCTTAACACACTTAATCTGAGATTTCTATCCCATGTTGCATTTATTGAGCACTCATGGTGTATGGACAAGGAAGTGCTCACCTTCTGTAGGGCCCGCAGTCCCTGTGTAGTTGCATCCTCAGTATCTAGGACCATTTGTTTGGGGTTCACCAAAGTTGGAGACTTAGCAGTTGCTTCTATAAAGTCCCCAGCAGGGTTATTTGCTCAATAAAATTCCATTTTGGCTGTGGTTTGTCTACAGCAAGGTGGGAAACAATGTTTGTTTAGAAGCCGTGTGGATTCAAGCCAACTCTGTCAGTTCAGAGCTCCTGGAAAATGCCACTGCATGGCTTCCTATTACCATAAATCATTGATGTTATGCCTTGGAATGCAGGCAGAAAGGTTTCTGATAAACCAGAGAAGACTCTTATCTACTATAATAGAAGAAAATTTTCTCAGTTAAAAAAAAAAAAATCTCATTTTTCTGTGTCAGATCAGCGAAAAATTCCAAACCAGATTTTCCTTTGGAGGAGAGTCCACCCCAGGACAGGACTGAGGAAAGGGAAGCATTCAGCACTAGGAGTTGCTTAAAAGGAAGTATGAATAGGGCTAGGTCTCAAGGAAGAAGCACGATGTGTAGGTGGAACAAAGCAAGCATAGCAAGTTTAAGTTACCTAAGAGTATTTCTTTCTTGCCAAAAACTAAATCTGATTAATTTTTTTTGAATTTAAAAAGCCACAATTCCGAATCTTTCCTGCTGAATCTGTTTCAGTAGTCTTTTACTCAGAACTTGTGTTTTTATAACACTGCACTAAAAGGTGGTGCCAAAATTAGTGCTGTAAAGTTTTTTTCCAGGTATCTGATCTCCTCTTTGTCTTTCCATAACTTTTTATTTAATTCTATTGTTTCAGACCTACGTTAAAAAGCCTAAAACCATGACATTATCTTCGAAATAATACCTGGTGTTTGTATAGGCTTTAGGAAGAAGGTGTGGTTTTCATACTAGTAGAATGTGCTGGCTCTTCAGCTGTACTGAGAGCTTCCTGTCTAACTTTCCTCTGTCTTAAGCTGATCAAAAACCTTGAGATACACTTGAACAGTTTCATATGCATAGTAGTGTGTACTTCGAGCAGTCTAACTTTTTATCTTGTGTGCACAGAAATTACAACTAAATAGTAAAAACTTACTCAGAGGAAGTAGAGAAAGTATTGGTTTTCTGATGTTCCCCCTGCTACATTTTCTGCAGAAAATATTTTTTCTGTTTTTTCCTCTCACTGCTGTCTCCAGTACACACTTGAAATTTGGTAACACCGCATTGGCCCAAATAAACTGTCTTCTGCAAAGATCACCAGACTGCACTTGAGCAGTTGGAGAGAACTGATGCTTTCTTAATTGTAGCATTGGGATAATCTTAAGAGTCTTTTCCAGCCTAAATGATTCTATGAAAGGTATGACCTGTATTATTAAAAGATGCTTCAGGTTTTTTTCATCCAATCATCAAGGTTACTGTAGGCTGACAAAAAAAATGTTATGGAAAGTGTGCTTTGTGAAGAATGTCTGAATCTATACTTGGATCAGTTTTGGGCAGGTTTCCAGGCATGCCCCTGTCTCTGAGCTGTGCTTCTACCTGAGCATTTCAGGTGGATGGTAACTAAAAGTGAAACCATGTTGTGTCTGTGTTAGCTGTCACCAAGTTAATGAGCCATCCTATTTCTGCTAGACTTCCATGCTGTGATTTTGTATATTCATTGACCATCTTAGCAGGAGGCCAGGGGCGAAATAGCAGAGGAGCTGCAAGTCTCTGATTTAGCAGCAAAGGTCGAATGTCTAAATTATAACTGACTGGGTGAGTGGAGCTGGGAATTGTGCTGAGCTATGGTAGTTCTTTGACTCTTCTGAGCACTTTAGAAACCACTTCTGTACTTTACCCCTGTTATTTTTTCCCTACAATGAAATATTTAGCTCATAAAGGGAGGAAAAGATATTTTAATATGCACCTTTTGAAAATACTAAGCCTAATTTTTCTGTGTGGCAAGGGGGACTTTATCAGTCACCACTTGATCACTTTCAAGAAAATATTACTGAAATGTATTTTCTGTGTCTGTTAATTGATTGCAGAAAGTACACCACCCCCTCCCAATATTTATTGATAGATTTTGCTTTGCTTCTGTTTCTTTGAATTAGGGCTGTAAAGGGTGTCCTTTCTGAGTAAACGCTCCGTTTGAGCAGCGTGATTGCTGAACAGATGGTTGTATGGATGTAAACAGCTCTTGAACTTCATGTTTAGTGTGCTAAGTGTCTGCACTACAGGGTGTCCAGTACACATTAGTATATCATTAACCTCACTTTTAGTGCTACAGGGACTTTGTTTTCAAAGGGAATATTGTAACAATGCTCCCTGAAAAAGGGTTAAATGATCACTGGGTATCTTTCCTGTAGCAGTGCATAGAGAAAATAGCCCGTTCTTCCATAACCCATTAGGAAGGAATTCTTAAGCGTGTCAGCACAGAAACCACCATGTGGGCTGTGTGAGGCAAACCCAAAAGTTCCAAAAAGTAAGTGCAAATTTGATACACCAAATGTATCATTTAGATTACAGTATTTCAGTAGCATCAAGCATTCTATCATTTGGCCCATAGGCTCAAGCCAGAATTAACCTGAGACAGTCTCAACCTTCACAGAAAACTCAGGGGCAGAAAGTACAGCAGAGATTATCAAGTCTGCTCCTGTGCCCCAAGGTGAGATCTCTGTATCTATGTCATACCTGATAAAAGTTTGTCTAACTCGTTCTCAAAGACCTCCAGGGATGGAGATCTCTTAAGATCTCTCCAACCTCATCAGACAACTGTTCTACCAATTTCATAGACCTTGTAATTAAAAACCCCTTTTCTTAACATGCCATCTAAAGCTTCTGTGCTACAAATTAAACCTGTAGCTAATTGTCCTCTGACAAGTACTCCTGTACACTGTGAACATGGAAAACAGAGATTATTCTGTAGCTCTGCTTTCTCACATGAATTTCATTTCAAGGTAACATAAAGATGGCTGTATTTAAGCAGGAGACATGATATTAAATTTTGATGGCAAGGACTGCAATTATGTGATAAGATGGAGCCAGCTTCATTTTGGAGTTGCAACGGGTACAAGTTGGAACATGGGAAATTCCAGTCACCTATATGAATTTACTTCCTTGGTTTTTTGGGTTTATTTTTTCCCTTTACTATAAAAATGGTCACATATCGGAACAGTTTGCCCAAGTGAGGTGCAGAATCTTTATGCCTGGAAATACTCAAAACAAAGCTGGATGAACCAGAGCTGCTTTGTGCAGGAGCACAGACTACATGACCTCCCCAGCCACATTCCTTTCAGCCTAATTTGTGCTATAATCTCTGTCACAAAATTTTTCATCCAGTGTGCCAATTTACACGAGACTTCTTTAGAAATCCCATGAACTTGCTGGATATAGGTTGCTGTTCCTACTGAATGTCCCTTATTCTGACTATAGTTTTAAGTTTTACAAAAAAGTTAGAAATCAAAATTAAACCTAGAGTCTTAGTTAACTGCATACTGTTTTCCATATAGCATGGGGTGGGGATTTATATTGTCATGGTTCTACTTTATATTGATTTTATTTCAAAAATCTCATAATTTTAAAATTCATCACTAATTATCTAAGTAATGTCCACTCAGGCTGTCTGTGAATTCCTGCTAAATTCCTGACTTAATAAGTAGAAATCAGAGAGAGGATGTTTTTTCTTTTGGTAGTCAAGGGAGATGGACTATTGCTGCCAACCATGAATTTTTTAAAAACCTGAGGGTTACTTTTAAAAACTCTTGCTGTCACTGTCCACAGCAACAAATGAAAGGTAAAACAAAAATTGTTTTGGAGTTCGTACCATCAAGATTTCTCTTGTGAAAGCTGAAAGCAGATATTTTTTTCTCAGCCATGATGTGGATTTTTGTTGAAATGGAATTTTATAGGTGGTACCTTTTCGTTTCCCAGGATAGTTTGTTAAATTGATGGTTAATGTTAACAGCTGTATGTGTTGAGGGGGATATTTCAAGATCATCCCATCTAAAGGTCTGGTAAATTCCCTTGCAATAGTGAAGATTTTTAGAAAGAATGATCTTGAAATGTGCTTCCCTCTCTACTACTTTTGTTCTTCAAAGAAGGGATCATGAGGAAACTTTGTTTCAGGATGGGTGGGGGGAAAAAAAGGCTTAAATCT